TCTAGATATATCATGAATATGCTACCAAATGTGAAGCTAAAATGCAGTTTCACTGAATTTTAGCATGACAGGGGAGTAAAAAGAAACAACTGAAGACAGCCTGGAGTCCTATCACAAAATAAGGAAACCAGAATCCCTCTTAGTGCAATCAAGTGCCAAATTTCAGTTTGAAACATGCTATGAACCAAATAATGTGTATAAATAAAATGACCAACATGAAGGAAAGAACAATAAAACAATGAAGGAAGATAAACTGAAACTATTGATTAGCAAATATAGCATTACCTGAAAACCAGTACATGATTAAACATTTTTCTGTTTCATTGTCATATTCTGAAGCCTGTACATCACCTACAATACTGGTGGCCCCCAATAGTTTTAAGTTATTGCTAGCTAAGTATGACTCGATTCTTATGACTCTTCACACCGAACACAGCAAACAGACCACAGGAATATCACTTGGTTCACCTAATTCAAAATACAATCCCAAACTGGTAGTGCTAAGCAGCAGCAAAATTGGAGGCATCACTTGCTGCATAATCTCCAGTCAGCTGAAAGCTCACCTGGGAATTGGAAACAGGACATGGTCAGGACTTCTCTGAGAACTGTATGTGCAACAGCTATAATTCTTCAGGGATGATAAACATTAATGCTAGCCTTGCTTTGAGTAGCAGGTTGGACCAGATAACCTCCTGAGATCTCTTCCAGTCTAAATTATCCCATGATTATACACCATAGCAAACATTTAAAGCTGAAAATCCTGAAAATATTTTGTAACCTTATTTATAAGTCTTTGCCACAGAATTATTAACTTTTGAAACTTCTCCCAGAGGATGAGAACAAGGCAGCAATCCACAAAATCCAGGACATAGAAGCACAACGGCTATGAATTTGTCCTACCTAACACAATTAATGAAGTTTTTATATTACCCCTATACCAAAACAACTTACACAATTTAAACATTAATCCAATAGAATAGACATTTCTGGTTATACAAACAGACCTGAATAACTTACAAATGACATTAATAGTGAGCTGTGCTATTGGCAACCACAGAACTTGAGTCATTTGAAAAGTTGTAATTTTGGGGATCCAAGCAATGCTGAGAAAGGGAGCCTCCAGCCACACTAGCAGTATCAGATATACAGATATTGCCCATGTGCTTCAACAACTGAAAGCATGCTGGCATAAACTTCATTCCCTCTACCTACCTTTTATCTCTCTACGCGACCTGGAGAATGAGGAGAAAGTAATGTTTGTTTATAAGAAAGAGAAGTTTTTCCACAAAGTAAAAGGAAATGGGTGATAATGCAAAGTCTCTGCAAGGAAGAGTTTCCAAGTGAAACAGATGAAACAGAAGCAAGAGATCCTCTGTAATTTTGACCTCCAGAGATAAACTGGAGTAAGACTAATAATTTAAGCAATTGAGACAAATGCCTCATTACAAGGCAAGGTAAACCAAAAAACACCTTTATGACTTTCAGGGGCAGCTATCTTGTGGACAAGTTAGGTGAGCTTTAATCACCAGGATATAAGATCATAGTACAAATTACAAAGAGACAGGAGACAGTGATTTAGCTAAAGAAAAAAGAAATCAGCCTCCAAAAAACCAGAAGTTAAATGGCAGCTGGAGAGGCGCAATTAGAGTTCCTGTTGACTAAACTATACAGGTATGAACTCTTCTCTGTATACCATGAACAAGGAGACAATATTTATCCCCACACATGTTTAGGTGGAAGGAAAACTGGAAGAAATTAAGATAGATATGCAAATTGTTCTAGATTATTTTTTTAAAAAAAGAGAGATTTGTCAAACTAATACAGTCTTTCTGGGAGATGTAAAAATGAGAGAGCATTGCTGTCTCTTGCTGCTAAGAGCAAAACTACCTGAGTTTCTACACGAGCTTCTCTAAAGACCCTATTAATTTCTTTCTACTTATTTTATTTTATATGAGAGTAAACAGAGATGACATTCAGTTACTTCTGCTCTAGTGGCTTGTAATGTATTTTCACCATAGAAAAGAAGAATCACATCTTAAACTCAGTGGCCTTTTACAACAAAGGGGTAAGTTTTAGATGTCATTCCACAATTTCATCATTTTCAAAAAACATTAGAAAGGTAGTTTTTCCCTGGTGTTCCTTTAGATGGAAAAATATGGTTTCAGTGGATGTATAGACTTATATGTAGCACCTGGAGATCACTAACAGACCTTAATGGTCCCTCCTCTGGGACCTCCATCCACACCTTTAGTCCTGAGTCTTCAGTCTCTGCCATTGGACCTGCCCAGCAATCACTAGAGCTGACCCTGACCTGTGGATTGACTTCCCAGCTTGGCCTTGGACCTCCCTCATTGTCACAGACTTACTTGTCTGCACCCTTGGCTGAGCCTGGCCTTGACCTCTGGGCTTGCCCTCCTCCCTTGCAGTGGGACTGTGCTCTACCCGGCCATCACGTTCTCCCTCTCTGCTGCTGGTGACTCCCATCTCTCACTGCTCGTGGACACGCTATTAGTTATTTCCTCCTGTTTTTCATGTGCTTTCACTGTCTGCACAGAGAAGGGAGAAACTGAACAGAGCTGAAAAAGGAAAGATGGAGCTATAATAATTTCAGAGACTCAGGACTCAGCATGCTCTGTGAAAATCGCCTAAATTCAAGGAAGTTTTAACTGAATCTTTCATTACCTGAAGGCTTTAATGAATCATACTAAATTGAGTTCACAGTCTGACACAGAAGGTTATTGCTTACCTTTCAAGAGGAATGAAAAGACTTTGAACTCAAGTGCAACACTCTAGAAAACCCTTGAAACCCGCAGTTCTAACATTTCTTAAGTGACCCTGAGAGACACGAAATCCATCCCTCTGTCCCAAAGGAAGACCAAGAATCCCTCTTTTGTGTTTGCTTAGTGTTGTCTTAACAAACCCTCCGTGATGAAAGTTCAACAACCTACTCGATCTATTCCACTGTTTACCACTTTTAATCTTTCTCATAAAACATGCTTCTAGATTACTGAACTTTTTTATAGATGTCCCTGATCTACTTCCTTCTTGAAGATGGTACTGGGTCTGATGCTCCAACTTACATCTAGTGAGCACTGTGTTGAAGCTTACTCTGTGTGTCTTAAGTATCAATATTGCATTATATCGGCGGTGGTGAAATGAGAGCTGTTTGCTTCCTTTCTACTTTTTACAGTAGGTCGAGCAGTTTGACCTTCTTGACCATTACCCAGTTTGTGGTACATTGTAGCACTTTCTGTATCTTTCTCTAGAGATGTGCTGCCTAGGTAGCCATTTTGCACTTTTTCACTTACATATTATTTATATTAAAACCTTCCTCTACTTGTCAAGATCATTCTGAACCCTAATCTTGTTCTCTGTAAAGTGCTTGCAGCTTTTCCCAAATAGGTATGAACTGCAGATTTAATAAACATTTTCTCTATGCCACTATCTAGAGAAAATCTTATCTCTTTCTAGAGAAAATCACTTGACGGAATCCCATCCTTCTTGTTTGACAGTGAACCACTGATAACTACTCTTTGAAATTTTAATTCCAAGTCAGAGAAAGATAAAGCATGTCATACTTTTTGGTGACTTTTTGGTTCAGCGTTTGTTTTAAAAACAAATATTCAACTGATCTGATGTCAATTAACCTTGGTGGCATGAATATTGGTTAGAGACTGCTCTTACAGTATCTTCCTCAACAACAAGTTTCCCTACTTTTCTTTAGGAACACCTTTAACGTTTTTAGAAGTCATAAAGCATCGCACTTATCACCTACCTCATCTCCTCAAGGCCTGTTATCTTGTCATAGAGGGAAATTAGATTGCTTTACATGATTTGTTCTTGACAAATCCATTTTGGCCATTGTTTAGCATTTTTTATCTTCAGAGTGATTCTGAACAGATTGTCTGCTCAATTGCCTTTCCAGGAATTAAATTTAGCCTAACTGGTCTATAATTCCCTGGGTCTTTATGTGGTTTTTAGAAAGATAGACACAAAGGTTTCTTCCCTCTCTCTACAGTTCACTTACTTTTTGTCCTTCAGTTCTCAAAGCTCATAAGGGAAGACTCTAAGATTTCTTAAATATCCCATAGTGAATTAATTTTGCCAGACAATTTGAAAGTATCTGACTCATCTAAGCAGATTCTAACCTGTTCTTACCCCTCTTCACTAGTTTTAATTATGTTAGTCTTCAGAACACAGTCAGCCGCCTTCTTAATGAATGCTGGGGAAGAAAAAAAAAAAAACCCAACTACAAAACTAGCATGCCCCTATTAGGTTTGCCTCTCTGTCAAATAGTGGGACAACGTTTTCTCTTGTTTTGTTCTAATTAATTACTTACAGGATGTTTTAACTACTTTATTGATAAAACCATGCTTAAGGCACTTGGCTGTACTTTACTGTAATTTCTATGACAAAAATGTTGGTCAGGGTGAAACTCTGAAGATTTGGAGAGTGCATAGTACGTGATCTTATTAGTTCTGGGGGCTTCAGTCATTTCTGTCTCAGTAAGCTCCTCTAATGTTTTCAGCCATAGACTCACCAGATTTTGTCCCTCAATGTTTAGACTGTTCAGACTAACGCTTATAATAAATCAGAGCACAAAAAGAACATGACAAAATTATATTTGTTCTCTCGTTTAAGTGAGCCAATGTCAGGATACAAGCTTCCTTCAATATCACACTTTGACTTTGGCAAAGTATAAAGGAACTTGTGCTATAAAAAAACAAGCGATTTTTTTTTTGCACTTGTGTGCAATGATCTTGGTGTAAAAAGCAGACAAGAGAAAGCACGGCTAGTTTTAGTATAGACAGTCAAATAAACCCCAGAAGGGAATTAAGTTTATTCAGTACAGCAAATGTGACCTAGTAAGACAAAGGCAAACAAGATTGAAACAGTGGGTCTGTTTCTTTTTACCTAATTGCCATTAATGAAGGAACTAGCTCCTTGTAAGCCTGATATTAGCAGCTCTCTTTGTGCATTGGAAATTAAGCAAATCTTACCTCAGAGAACCTTTGTACATCTTGGGTTAAAGTTCCTACTCTCTTCCACTGATAATACTTCAGTAACTTCAAAATTGCTGGATTCACTGCATTATCAGATGGCACTGTCCGGAAGAAATACGGATATTTTTTCTTATCAGCCAACTCTGGGGTTGTTGCTGCAAATGAAAGCTGAAAAAAATCAAACAACAACAACAAAAAAAAGAAAGTCACCACAAGTCACCTAGCAGCAGAAGAGAAACTTTGCTCTTCTCAGTGCAACAAGACACAATCCATGCATTGCGGTCATATAGAGAATTTTCATTATTGTACAGCTTGGAAGTCCTACCAGCACCATTTACTTTTAAAGGAATTTTTGAAATATTTTAGCTCTATAAACCACCTTCTACAAAATTAAACTAGGGAGTCTTCAAAGTCAGTGGTGTAAAATCCTCTGTTTGAGATCATGCTTCTTACACATTGTGCAGAGCAAGAAACCATAAGGAAGTAAGTCTCTATGATGAATTCCCATCAACTTCATTCTATGTTCTCCTCATAAAAGTCGAGAATAGCTCCAAGGGCATATTCTCAAACTCTTATATATCTTTAAATTAGAGAGTGAACCTTTAGTAGCACTTCTTCCTCTCTTCAGGTAATAAACTAGCTCGAGGTAGCAGAAAAAGAGAGAATAATTATGGCAGCCATGTCTGCAGCTCAGAAGTTTGCCTGGCTCCCAGTTTCCTCCAGTGAAGCAGCCCCCTGTGATCTCTGTTATAAAAGGAGACTCAGTGGCTAATTTTACATGTCTGAAAACACCAGAATTTGTACATGGTTTGAGAATGCTTACAGTGAAAGAAAAGAACAAACCTTTCCACAGACACACCCACAAAACAAAAAACAACCACCAAACAGTTGACTTCACTAAATTTGTCTACCCAAGTTAAAGACACCATATTTTTATGAATTTTCAGGCAGTGTTATGAAGGGAATGCTTGCATGTTTGCTCTTGAAAATGCTCCTATTCCAAAGGTACTTGTGGTCACTCTCTCCAGTATTCTTTAGGTTGCTACAAATGTGTTTCTCAAGCTTTTTTTTTATTTTTCAGCCATGAATAGCAGTTGAAGGGGTTTTTTTAAAGTACTGATTTAATGCAAATTGGTTTGACTGTCAAAAAATAAGCTCCATAATACAGTTACGTTAAGTCTTTCAAACACAATAAAGAGTCAGAAACGTAGGTGAATTCAAGCCTATATAAGTACATTCAACCATAGCATTAAGTTTATACTTATACTTTCTTCAGTCAAGCATTCAGTATATTTGGGCTAGATATCCTTTTTTGAAACTCAGAATAGACAAGTTTAAACAAATAACAATTCTAACCTTTTCTTCATGTTTATAAAAATCTAGAGTTAGCCTGGCAAAGACAGGACTCATTCTCTGACTTTAGACTCACAACGAACATATTGAATTGTTATAACTGCCTGAATATAGTTTATTTTCCTAATTAAAAACCCTGAAATCCAAACAACTTAAAGTGTGCATAACTGTACAGTTCACACTATACCATTTGAAAAGAAAAGATTCTATCTCTTCACCAGTCAGCAGCTAGAGAGTATTTTCTAAGACCTTCTACTGCCATGTGATGTCAAGGTAAAACCTTTTTAATACAGCAATTGCTCTTTTATTAGATTTTATGAAAAAAATTACAGTATGAGGTACTGTGATATGGTTGTCTTGATTTTCAAAAACTATATTGGTTGGCTCATCTAGAACTTTATAACATTTAGTAATCAGCAATGAGTTTGTGAAGAGCTGATTTCAAGGGAAACAGAATGAAGGTCTGCCAGGTAGATCTTGCCAGCTTTTCTGTCTAGCCTTGTAACGCTGAACATCATGCATCCACTGCATAATGAAAGTAGAAATAAGGACCTGTATGTCTGAGTGAAAAAGAGATAATATTTGACTTTAGAAACCCAGTATGAAGAGGAATGCCTCTCAGCAGCCTGACTGCTTCCAGTCTAGTGACTGCAAAGAACTTGCTTTTCAAGTTATTATGGTTTTGGATCGAATGTAATTTGATTGATCCTTAAGAAAAAGAAGTAAAGAGCAACGCTGAAGTAACAGTAGTGAAAAGCAACATCAGCGAGGTTCACCTAACTCAAGTTCACAGATTGAATAGTAAATTTTTCTGATCAGAAGTAGAAAAAGTCGTAGTAATGAGGATCACCTCTAAAGCTGTGAGCAGGCTTTAGGGCCAAGATCTGTGATATAAGCAAGGCAATTCAGATCCATCCTTTGACATTTTAGTGACTTAAACAAAGTGCTTAAATTGGTATCCTAATTGCCCAAATTTCCTTGGGAAACAGTGAAGCAAAACCTTACCTCTCTTCATTGATTAAAGAAAGATGAAGAAGACTCATAACTTCGATTTCTCAGCCATGTCAAGTGAGATGAGATTAATCCAGGTTTATGTGTAATACTAAGGACACCTGAATTACAAAAGCAGATTCTTCTTCATTCTCTTTTTGAAAAAAAAAAGTTTTTATTAAAATATAAAATAGGAAAATTTCATGCTCAATCAATTCTTGGAACATAGGATATGTTCAGAGGCCTTTTAAGTATCACATGTACCGTAGTTGGTCTCATCCTGCATTGCTTTGCCATTTTAATAAGACACTCATGAGAGAGAGTCAAATACCCTGCAATAGTTATGTCAGTCCTTTTTTTTTTTTTTCCTCTTTCTTTCTCACAAAAGTTAAGTCATTGAAAATATTTAAGTTTTCACAAAACTGTCTCTATGAGAGTTTGAGGACGTGCAATGAACTTAACCCAGCAATCACCAGCACTCAATATTCTGCTTTGAGAGGGACAAGAAAGGAAAAGGACAAAGAAAAAAACTCACTACGTTTTAAAAAGTGGTAATGAAAAGATCATGTTAATAAACAACTTGACACAATGCAGGCTTACTGCAAAAGTATGTGATATAGCATGGCTATATAGAATATATAGAAATATCAGTAAAATATTCATAACAAAAACTTTAACCTACATGATAAAACAAATAAGATCACAACACAGTCCACCCACATACGCATTGAGAAAGTTAAGCCCTTGTCAAGTGAACATAAGTCCTCTGTATTTTAGGGCTAAAAGTTGTTTATTCATAGCTAATTTGAAAATTGAATCTATTGAAAGGCAAACTTTTCTTAGTTTCTGCAATTCATTCTACAGGACTGAAAGCCATAGTGATCCAATTCTGCTTTTTGTTACAGGAATTTATTTAAATTACTGTTAGTTATTTAGCCAAAAATCTGTATGAATAGCAATCCTCCTGCTCCTATAAATTTTGCAAACCATAAAGATATTTTTCATATTACTGTATTTTTAGACCATACATATTCATGCATTGCTAAAAAAACTTTGTTATGGGTGTTACGTGGCTGCCTCTGTGTAGAGGATAAGTGAAAGATAAAAGACTTATAAATAAGATTATAACTCAGCAATAAACGTCTGTGGGCTGTATGCTGTCATTCTTTCAAGAAAATTATTTTACATAACTGCTAAAGGTGATGGCTAAAAGGCAAACTTCAACAAGGGATGAAAGTTGCAAGAAATTTTTTTTTCAAATTGCTATAAAATGGTGGGCACACTGGAAACATACCAGGTGATATATCATAATTGTGTGTGTAGTGTTTGCTTGTGTGCATATGCAAACAGACTGAGCATATGTATATTTAGATATATAGAAAAAAAAATCATTCATGCATATAGTATATATACATCAGTCTGAATACTGTCAGGAAAACTGAAGCTACTTCTCAGGCCATTCCTGAGAAATCTTTCTTTAGAATATTTGCTTACAATTTGATACGATTTGCAAGCAACTGCTTCTGAACTTAAAAGGCATGTATGTAGGCAAACATATATAAACTATGACTCAGATGGAGATTTCAGAGATGAAACAGAGTTTAAAACTTTTAAATCGAAAAGAAGATAACATTTACCATTCCAGTATGAATATTAACTATAATACAAAATGAGAACCACATGGACCAAGGTATTGAAAACCAAATGTTTATTTCTTCGTAAAAGCAGTAATTTAGTAAAACTTCTGCTGCCTTAATATCACAATTAATTCTGCACAAATTCTGAAATGAATTTTAGCTTTAGTTAACAGCTAAAATACACTGTTTCTGACTTTTTAAATTATTCCTACTACTGTTTGAGCACTATATAAATGGATTATAGTTAGCAGAGTTTCATCAGAATGCATTTTGTCTGCTCGTTAAAGAAAACCAATAATGGTAACACATACAGCCAACATGAAAGGAATCAGTGTGAAAGGACTTAACAAATATGTCACTTGAAGTTGATTTAGTTATGCAATGTTTAATTACTGCAATATACCACACAGACCACGTGGGAGCAAAAGCACAGCTAACTAGAGAGGTTCATATAGGGTGGCCGTAAGCCAGTATTTCAGAGTCTCAACTCCATTAAGTCAGTGCCAAAGCTTCCACCAACTTCGTTAGAGCCCAGAGATGAGTACTTGGAAATCATATCCAGTTAGTGAGATTTAACTACACTGGTGTAATTGTAACTCACTAGACTCAGCACTGTAGTCGTGCAGATTCTTTTGTTTGAAAGATAAATACAGGGCTGGCTCAAGAGTGAGCTGAGCAGTTGTGCTTCATTACTAGCAATGGAGAAGCAGAGCAGAAACACAGCTAATGGCTTTATCTTAGCCTGTGAATTGAAAGGAAGCAACGAATAACAGTTCTGGAGTGGCTCCAAAGCAAAATAATTCAGGAAGCAGTGTGAAACAGAAAACCAACAAAACATTAAAGATGATGCAGAAGGGACCTAATAGCACTATATGTGTAAAAGAGTATCTTACAGTAAAGAGTTCTGAGGCTATAAAACGCAGGACGTTTTTATACTTTAAAAAAAAAAAAAAAAAAGCTTGGAAATTATCCAAAATTGAAAAACCCAGTGAGACAAATTTTACTTTCAGATTTAAAAAAAAAAATAAATAAAATCCAACCGAACATTATTTGACAGAAGTCAAGGAAATTTCTTTGGCTTCACACTGAAAGTAGAACTTGATAATGGAGAGGACAGGAGAGGAGATAATGTTATACAACTATTATGAGAAGTGCTTCAGCCTAAAATATGACAGATGGCCAGGTTAA